CTGAGTCAACATGTGACAAAAACTATGTTCTGTCCTTTATATCTGTAAAAATGAACAAGAAAGGGTCTGTCAGTCAAAACCAAGCATCATTAGATCATTAGGAATCAGCTTGTTTTCTTTATTTCTGCCCAGCTCTGGGCACAATGCAGCACTGTAACTGTAGCTAAATTAATAGACTTATTGTCTTGTTGGAGAAATGTTTTCCATGTGTTTAGTTGTTGTCTCAAACAATATTTTGGCACACATTCATCTGTCACCTGGTAGAAGCTGCACAGGCAGATGGCAAAACAGACCAGTTTTGTGACATGTCCTCATCCTCAGAAACCAGCAATATTTGCTTTAATTTTAAAGACATTTTGTTTACTTTTACAATAAACCATTTGGTACTGTGTTTAAATAAAGTGTAACATTTCCTATCCTGAAGTCCAGAAGCAAAACAAGTTGAGATGCACTTTGCTAATTTCCAGGCAGTGTACAAAAACACAGTTTCAGAGATAACGCTTATTTAGGCCTAATCAATTATATACTGCAGATATACCAAATGTGTCATTTCTGTGTAATACTGTACAGTAATATAAGTAGCTAAACTGGTACAACACAATAGATTGTACATGTATAAATTACAAATGGAAACATGTTGTTTTCAAATAGTCTTAAAGCTAATTTTTAACGGGTAAGATTTTCCAAACAATAAAAAAAACATTTTCTGTTTCTGGAATCAATAAGACAGAAGACGATAAAACAGATGGGATTCGAAATGAGGTAAACCACTAATTTACTGAACTCACAGCGTGCAACTTTTCTCAGTAAAGTGCGCTCTGAAACAGACAGCTATCTTTTGTGTCTGACGCCAGAACTTAGTTATAATGGTTCTCTGATTACTTTGCCCCTCTTGAGCACTGCAATTAATTCTGTTCTCATGGCTGAGAGTTAAACAAGAAAATGAGTGTTTCATCAAGGACTATGGTAATTAAAGCCTCATCCCTAGCAATTAGCCCTTGTGTTACGGAGAGGAAGAAGTTGCTCAGAAACGCTCATCTTTATTAAGGTCACTGCATGTCAAACATGAATAAAGCATAACTGATCTCTTCTGTCATTATCCTAGTCAGCCACGTGCAAATGCTTAAATATCTTTAGAATGTGTATTTGTACTTAATTGTACTTGAAATGTAATTTGTACTAGTTTTGCTTTAACACAAATAACTTTTAGGAGGTAAATGTAATTATCTTGCTTTCAGCCCCCCAAAAATATGTTATAATATACGGACGACTGGTCATTATCACAAAATAAACTGTGACATTTAGACGTTTTTCCAAAATGTGTTACAATAACAATACAGGCAAGCAATTATTCTAGTCACCCTGAAGGGGTTTATTTTATGATTCAGACCAACTGAATGTTCATTATCCTGCTAATGATGTGGCTCCCTCCCAAATAAACAATGCATGGACATGAGTTCATGATTTTTCTTATTTTGTATTATTCATATTATTATATTATGTGAGAAGAGAGCAGCCACAGAGCGATGCAAGAGACATGAAACTAGTACAGTTACTAATACGTACGCAATACTTTTGTGAGAAAACAAATGTTTTGCAAGATAACACAAAGCTTCTCTGAAAACATAATGCTTTTGCAAGAGAACAAATATTTTGCAAGAAGACAAAGTTTCTCAGAAGAACACAATACTTTTGCGAGAAAACGCAAATATTTTGCAAGATAATGCAAAGATTCTCAGGGGAACACGGTACTTTTGCAAGAGAACACAAATAATTTAAAAGATAACAAAGTTTCCCAATGCAATATTTTGCGTTGGTATGCAAATATTTTGCAAGATGGCACAAAGTTTCTCAGGGGGGAACAGTACTTTTGCGAGAGAACGCAAATATTTTGCAAGATAAGTTTCTCAGAGGAACACAATACTTTTGCTAAAGAATGCAAATATTTTGCAAGATAATGCAAAGTGTCTAAAAGGAACACAATACTTTTGCTAAAGAATGCAAATATTTTGCAAGATAATGCAAAGTGTCTAAAAGGAACACAATACTTTTGCTAAAGAATGCAAATATTTTGCAAGATAACTCAGAGTTTTTCAGGAGAACATGGTACTTTTGGAAGAGAACACAAATATTTAGCAAGATAACGCGAAGTTCTTGGGGGAACGCAATACTTTTGTGAAAGAAAGCAAATGTTTTGCGAGTGAATACAAAGTTTCTTGAGGGAGCACAGTATTTGTGCAAAATAATATCATATAGGGGCTCTGTACAATTGACCTATCAGAATGAAGTATTCCAGAGATCCATGCAATAAAGTAAGTCTTGCAGTTGCAATTCTCAGCCAGTTTTTTTTAAGTTGCTTCACAAAAAAAAAGCTAAATAACCTTTAAAAAAGGTAACATGTATCTGTATATAAAGCTTAATTAACACATTAATTAAGTACACAATAATGAATATATAATTCACAATAAGAACAGTGATGAGAACCTGCACTGCCATAAATGTTTATCAGCTTATTGTTCAGATTTACTATCATTTTTGTTGGTTTGAAAAAAGCAACATTCTCTGGTTTGTCAGAAATCTCTAGAGACCATCCCAATGCTCTCTCTCTCCTGTGTATCTCTCTCAGTTCTCCCATATCCCTGCTGATGACACAGATTGCCCTTCACAGTGAGGAGGTAATGAAATCTGTAATGGAACAGCAGGGCTGTGGACCATTTTGGATGCCTGAGATGAGTCCCTGCAGCTGCTAGACCTGCAATTACTGAATCAGAACAACACCAGTCAGGCACTTCCAAGCTGGAGTTTGTTAAACACAGTTTAAGGGCCGAGTTGTCCATGTCCTGTTCAAGTTTTATGGTAAGAGACACACACTGCCACTAAATACGTTTTCAGTTTAATGAAAAAATAGATTTTCTGAGCTTCTGCTTCTCTGTCTCTGTAGTCTCTGTCTAATCATTTTTAATTTGGACAGTATTAGTGATTAAATGATGGCGCTATACGGGCGCATTCTTCTCATCAGACCCTGTGTGTTCATGATTGTAATCAAGCATAGATAATTTCTTCCTGTCTTTCACTTAATCAAACAGTGTAAGAAGCAAAGTAGTTTGGAAAGTAGTTTGTAGTTTGTTGTAGGTTAAATCACTCACTCACTACAAATAAATGAATGTCTTTGCATTTAGAAACAAAATATCAACATTCATTTTGACATTTTGAAATGTGCTTGTACTCAGTTTTGATTCCAGGTGGTGCACTATGGAAGCAAAAAATTAAAATTAAAATAAATATATAAAAATAAAAAGATAACTGTCTTTTCCCCACACAATAACAAATAAAATAAAATAAAAAATACCACTTAAAATTTTTTTTCTCAGAATTCTGAGTTTATTTTGTGCAGTTCTGACTTTTTTTTTTTTTTTTTTACTTTAAATTGCAAGATTAAATCTCACAATTCTGAATTTTCTCAGTTTTTTTCTCAGAGTTTATATCTTAATTTTTTAAAACATTTATATCTTACAACACATTATTTCTCGCAAATCAGATTTTATTTCTTAATTCTTTATCTCTCTTTATTTTCTTAACCTGCAAACACTATCATAACCAACAATAATTGTTACAAAAATACTATAGATAAACTTTGCTTACTGCTTCTCTTTCTCCTTCCGTCTTATTTTTCTGTTTACAATAACATAAACATAGAACTTCATTCAGTTGAAACCCATGTCCACTAGAGAGCAGACAAGTAAAAGTTTTGGACCATAGAAATGGAACTGGATGCAGAACGGTTCCATTTACATGCTAATGTCTTCACTCTGCAATGTAAACAACATTTTTAATTGCCTTAACCCTGTAACGGTCATATAAGAATAAGTATAATTGAATTCAAATATAAAGTATTTCAGCTTTAACTAGATTATTCCATGCATGATAGAATGTCTGGATTTCCCCAGCCTATAATTGGATTTATTTAATGATAGTTATTAAAATATTATTTTAATCAGGTGAAGGCAATAGAAAAATGTCATTAGAATGTTCATGCTTTTTAGAGTTTTGTAGGTTATTATAGTTAACTAAAACCATAAAAAAGTTACATTTTCATTACCTGAAATAAAATAAACATCATCTGGAGTAAAATAAAATAATAAAAGACTTATTTTATTTCATGCTAGTTGCCAAGGCACCATTCCTCTATTTAATTTACTTTAATCTGGTGTACTGAAATGAATAAATACGAGAAATATTAAAAAAGACGAAACCACACAACAAAATTACTAAAATTATAAAGAAAATATACAAATAACATGTAATTTAACAAAAACTATAATCTGTGAACTCAATCATACTGAAATAACACTGGTACAAGGGTGTTTTAAGATATTGGCTTAATTTCAACAGAGTTGGCTTAATATCTTAATCTTGCAGAATCAATGCCAATATGCTAAATCCTCCTTCAGACTGGCACGATTTGCTTGGTCTTTACCCTTTGCTTTCACCCTCGGGAAAAAATGGATTTGGGATTAGCTCTTAGTTATGAAGGTACATAAAATCATATCAGAAAACATGTGGAGGTCTTGAAACTGGGGGTTGATTGGCAGCTATTTAAGCATGCCGAGAACTAATCACTAAACATGATGAGATGATGATCTCATTAGAGCTCACCCATTAGGACTAATGCTTGTGCTCGACAAATTATCTTTAATTAGATCATAGAAATATTCTTGTGTTGCTCATTGCCCGGATAGATCCTGCTAATCTGTTTATTTTTATGACGTAGAAGATTTTACTGCGCATTTGAAAAAGCCCCTCAGATGTTTAGCTCATTTGGCACGGTAATAAGAAATGCAGGACAAATACTGTTCATAAAAGAAAGCAATCTGATTATTCTTTAAAAGGTTTATTGAATTTGTGGAAATTTGTCGACAGTTTGGTCTTCTTGTGGTGCAAGTTTTTGGTCATTTGCAATAATTATACAAAACAGTAAAAGGTGTATTGCTGTGGTCTTCAACAGTGTAAACTACAGACATCGTGGTAAACATAAACCTGGATAAAGCTGGTTTATTCAGTGGCCTACGTTATCTTTTCAGCTCTAATACAGCTCTATCAACAGACCGCTCTAAAGGCACTTTAAAGCTCTTTTTCTTTTTTACTCTCAACAGAAACAACAAAAGAAACTCCATTCCTCCTCGTTCTACTCCAGCATGGATCTTCAGCTCTCTAGTGTCCCTACTGGTCACATGTTCACATGCGGCTCATTCCAGATCATCATGTTGGGTGGACTCGTTAATTATCTGCAGTGGATGAAAGGTCAGAAGGTCGTGATTTTCATATTGTAACTTAATAACACGTGTAAAGACTTTTTATGCCACTCACATGTCCATCTCTGGTCTCGATGGTCTTTATCATCACTTTCTTTGACAGGCTGTCCATCGCAGGTCTGGTTTCCTTCATGGACTCTGCCGGAAAAAAAAAAATATATATATATAAAAAAAATGTCGGTTACGGAATGCATCTTCAATCATGCCCAAACCATGTTTATTCCCACTGCAAGTAAACGTGTATTTGATTTGATTTAACTGGATGCTATTTTAACAAAATATAGGACATGGGATGCATTTTCTTCTCCATTTTAAAAAGTGATAAGCCTATTTATTTTAATATCATAATTATTCATGATTATGTGCTGTAATACATTATTTGCATTCAGCATTGTTTTTCCACTCTTCACAATTTTTTAAGGATGAACTAAAAAATACTGTACCTCGAAGGGTTAATGATAAGAGGTTGGGGAATGGTGTGGTGATTCTAGAAAGAAAAAGAAAAGAGAGAAATAATATGTAAAAACCAATGTTAAGTCAAAAAAACATATTTGTAATATATTTTAAATAGTCAAGTCTAAAAGTTTCACTCAGTTTTTCCCCTCATTAAAAAGGTTGTAGACCTAAAAAAAAAAAACTTTTATATTTATAGTCTTAGTAAATTAAAGTTGTTATATTTTACAATGAGCAGGTCACCATGTTGAGGTCAAGTGACCAGTCAAATACTATCTGCATTATTTAATTAATTCATTTCATTTAAATTATTTTGTGAGCAAAAGATAACGTCTAGTTACCAGGGTTAAAAATGTTTTTAATAGTTTTTGTTAATACTATTAAAAATATTTTGTTAATTGAAATTAAGCTGACATAAAATAAAATAATTTAATGAAAAGCTTAAAAATAAACAACCACAATTAAAATAAAAACTGAAAATAGAAAAGTAAAAGCTAATTCACAATGTTAATAAAAAATATAATAGCATATACTAAATACTAAAATAACACTGCTTTCTACCATCAAATCAGTAACCAAAACTCATGTTCTCGCGTTTATTCCACTAGGTGTCACTATAAGTCCATGCTGAATGTGCCTTTAAAGAAAAGCTAAGAATACAAAGTCAATACAAAGAAATTCTATTTGCAAAAGCAAACATTCACCTGCTTTCTTCCCCTTCCAGCAGCTTCCTGTAGGTGGCGATCTCAATATCCAGGGCCATTTTAACGTTCAGCAGATCCTGGTATTCACGTAGATGGCGCGCCATCTCATCCTTCATATTGCGGGTGTCGTCCTCTAGATGAGCGATGGTGTCCTGGTAACCGGATGCCTCCATGGAGAAGTTATCTTCCATCTCTCTCATCTGACGCTCCAGGGACTCATTCTGAAATGATGGATCTGATAATTAGTCATTTAAACAGTCGTAATACAAAGCTCTTTAATAAATGCTAATTATAGTTAACTAAATCTAAAAGAATATTTTTTTTTTTACTTGAAACTAAATAAACATGAACTAAAATTAAATTAAATTATATAAAAAGCAAAAATATTTCTCATGTTAATTTCGTTTAACTTGATGTACTAAACTAAAACTAAAGCTGAAATAATTTTCAAAAATGACAATAAACACTTACTAAAACTTCAAAAATTTAAATGAAAACAGAAAATAAAAATATGAATAAAATCTATAATAGTATCTCAATGATCCTAAAATAACACTGAAGCTAATATAATGTTCTCCAGTACTTACCGTTCCTTTAAGAGCTTCTAAGTCGCAGGTGAGAGATTGAAGTTGGCGGCGATAGTCATTGGCCTCCTGCTTGGCCAGACGGATCGCTTCGTTGTTACGGGCAGCAGCTTCTGAAAGGTCAGCAAACTACAAAAAAGAGAAAGTGTGAGATGAAGATAAAGCTCCATCTGCCTCTCTGACTTTTGTTTTCTATTTACAACTGAAGGCCACTGATGACTGTGCTGGTTTCATGTTTGAAGATCTAGGTTAATAGATCAATCGGTCCATTAGGATGATTAATACTGTGACAGAGGAGCAGATGGTCTCTAAATCCACACAAACCTCTGTCGACCATCTGACACGTCTTAAGGAGTTGATTCCTCAAACATCTCACACTGTCTTACAGATCAGATCCTTTCTTGTATTGTTTCATTGTTCATTTGTAACTTAACTAAGTTCTATCTGATGTTTCTATCTCAGGTGTTTCTCCACAAACTGTATTTATTATTGCTGCAACAAATACTATCTGCATTATTTAATTAATTCATTTCATTTAAATTATTTTGTGAGCAAAAGATAACGTCTAGTTACCAGGGTTAAAAATGTTTTTAATAGTTTTTGTTAATACTATTAAAAATATTTTGTTAATTGAAATTAAGCTGACATAAAATAAAATAATTTAATGAAAAGCTTAAAAATAAACAACCACAATTAAAATAAAAACTGAAAATAGAAAAGTAAAAGCTAATTCACAATGTTAATAAAAAATATAATAGCATATACTAAATACTAAAATAACACTGCTTTCTACCATCAAATCAGTAACCAAAACTCATGTTCTCGCGTTTATTCCACTAGGTGTCACTATAAGTCCATGCTGAATGTGCCTTTAAAGAAAAGCTAAGAATACAAAGTCAATACAAAGAAATTCTATTTGCAAAAGCAAACATTCACCTGCTTTCTTCCCCTTCCAGCAGCTTCCTGTAGGTGGCGATCTCAATATCCAGGGCCATTTTAACGTTCAGCAGATCCTGGTATTCACGTAGATGGCGCGCCATCTCATCCTTCATATTGCGGGTGTCGTCCTCTAGATGAGCGATGGTGTCCTGGTAACCGGATGCCTCCATGGAGAAGTTATCTTCCATCTCTCTCATCTGACGCTCCAGGGACTCATTCTGAAATGATGGATCTGATAATTAGTCATTTAAACAGTCGTAATACAAAGCTCTTTAATAAATGCTAATTATAGTTAACTAAATCTAAAAGAATATTTTTTTTTTTACTTGAAACTAAATAAACATGAACTAAAATTAAATTAAATTATATAAAAAGCAAAAATATTTCTCATGTTAATTTCGTTTAACTTGATGTACTAAACTAAAACTAAAGCTGAAATAATTTTCAAAAATGACAATAAACACTTACTAAAACTTCAAAAATTTAAATGAAAACAGAAAATAAAAATATGAATAAAATCTATAATAGTATCTCAATGATCCTAAAATAACACTGAAGCTAATATAATGTTCTCCAGTACTTACCGTTCCTTTAAGAGCTTCTAAGTCGCAGGTGAGAGATTGAAGTTGGCGGCGATAGTCATTGGCCTCCTGCTTGGCCAGACGGATCGCTTCGTTGTTACGGGCAGCAGCTTCTGAAAGGTCAGCAAACTACAAAAAAGAGAAAGTGTGAGATGAAGATAAAGCTCCATCTGCCTCTCTGACTTTTGTTTTCTATTTACAACTGAAGGCCACTGATGACTGTGCTGGTTTCATGTTTGAAGATCTAGGTTAATAGATCAATCGGTCCATTAGGATGATTAATACTGTGACAGAGGAGCAGATGGTCTCTAAATCCACACAAACCTCTGTCGACCATCTGACACGTCTTAAGGAGTTGATTCCTCAAACATCTCACACTGTCTTACAGATCAGATCCTTTCTTGTATTGTTTCATTGTTCATTTGTAACTTAACTAAGTTCTATCTGATGTTTCTATCTCAGGTGTTTCTCCACAAACTGTATTTATTATTGCTGCAAGTAAATCTGTATTAGATACAGAAAAGATATGGAATATGGGAAAATGTTTTCCCCTCCTTTCAAAAGTTGAGATGCCTGTTTTTTATTAGAATGATCTATTTTATTATGAGAACCTGACCTTGGATTTGTACCATTCCTCAGACTCCTGGAGGTTCCTGGAAGCCAGAGTCTCGTACTGCTGCCGGACGTCTTTCAGGGCAGCGGTGAGGTCAGGTTTGGCCACCTCCATATCAATCTGCACATGCTGTTCCTGGATCTGAATCTGCAGTTCGGCAAGTTCCTGTGGAGATGTTGGAAAAATTGACTTTAACAATCCAAATGCACAGTTTGAAACCTATCCTGCACTGTAAAAAAAATTCCGTAAAATTTACGGTAAAAAAAAACAGCAGCTGTGGTTGCCGGAATTTTACCGTAAAAAATACGGTAGCAACGTTTTAGGTTTTACGGTTTTAACTTAAATTTACAGTTAAATACCATAATTTTATTAACTGATATAATGTTAATATACCAACCTATTGAAGTACTGAATTCTGTTTTGTACCTTTGTAATACACTGATAACCACCAAATGCAGGTGGTGATGAGAAAGTCACATGATGAACCAAAGCCCATCACAAGCAGCTTTTAAATAATAACATATATAGAAGGTGCACAGTGTCATTCACACAAACACTAAACACCATCATGGTAACACACATGAAACTGAAATAATGCAATAAACATTCATTAACAACATTAGGTGTAACACACAACCCTAATATACAAAACTGATAAGAAAAAACTAAGAAGAAACAGTTATTTCAACAAAAAAACATCAAATTTGAAATGTAACGCAGGGAATTCTGGGAATGTCAATTTACGGTTATTCACTGTAAATGATACGGTCTTTTTCACTTCCAAAAACGGTATACTACCGTAAAATTAATGTACAATACATGTAATGTCCAATACAGTTTTTCACCGTATATAGTAGGGGAATTTACCGTTAACCATTTAACAGGTTTTTACTGTAGCATTTTTACAGTCTTTTACCGTTAAATTCACGGTCATTTTTTACAGTGTGAATATCGCATTGTACACTGTTGTTCAAAAGTTCAAGGTCAGTACAATACAGTAATATTGTGAAATAGTAATGCAATTTACAATAACTGTTTTCTATGTGAATATATTTTAAAATGCATGCAAAGCTGAATTTTCTGCATCATTACTCCAGTCTTCAGTGTCACATGATCCTTCAGAAATCATTCTAATATGCTGATTTGCTGCTCAAGAAACATTTATTATCAATAATATTGAAAACAGTTTAATATTTTTGTGGAAATAGAAATCGTTTGTTACCTTATAAGTATTATTGTACATTATAATTTGTTTAATTTGTATAGTTTATTTGTTACATTATAAGTATTATAAGCATTTTTGTCATTTTTGATTAATTTAATGCATCCTTGCTCAATAAAAGTATTCATTTCTTTCAAAAGAATATCTGACTGACCCCAGCTATTGAATGGTAATGTATAATAATTGTGTGCCATAATTTTTGGTTTTTGATTTGAACGTAAACTGAACAAATCTCATTCTGAAATACAATAGCAGTAGTTTGTTAGCCCTGAACTAATGTACTTCCTGATCCTGAAACAATGTCTCCGCTTTATTCTCTTGGAATTACGCCCCATTTAATCACTATGGCAACAAGTCACACATGCCTGACAATCCCCTGATATTAACAAGCCCAACAAAAGTGTCAGTCAGCCAGAAAACCACGACTGTGAGAAGAATGGTTGAATGGCCAGAGGAAATTTTATTCATTTTATTGTTCAGAGCTACTCTTTTATGGCTCAGGAGACTCTGAGTTGTTGTTTTTTAAACCATGAGCTTGTCTTGTATGTTTCTCCTAAAATTCATTAGAAGAAGAGATTATGGATGTATAAACTTATAGAATTTGGTCTCAGAAGAATGTAATAAGAAAGGTTTCAATTTGTATCAAAATCTCTCATTTTTTAAAATTCATGTCCTGATTTTTTCTGACACTCTCGAGGAGACACGTGACATTATTGGGGTGAAAATAATGTGAAAATTGGCATTTGCATTTCATGTTAATGCTATGAATGAGAAACACCTAAGATATTAAAGACATCTCATTTTGATGTTTCTCTCTCCAGGTGGTTCAGTACCTCATCATGAAGCTTCTTCAAGAAAGCGATCTCTTCTTGCAAGGATTCCACCTTTCTCTCCAGGTCCAGACGAGCCAGGGAGGCGTTATCAACATCCTGTGGGCGTAACACATATAAAATATTCATCAGATTTATTTGTATAAACCTAGGAGACATTTCTCCTAAAAATGTTGTTTTAAACTTCCACTTGTGTTTCCTATGAGTTCTACACAGTCCCCTTTTCTCATTCTTCTATCCCTTTGCACTAAAATAATCACATTATACACTACAGTTCAAAAACTTGGGGTCATTTTTTTATGTTTTTGAGAACAGTCTCTTATCCTCAACAAGGCTGCATTTATTTGGACAAAAATACAGGAATATTGGGAAATATTATTACAATTTAAAATAACAGTTTTCTATTTTAACATATTTTAAAATGTAATATATTCCTGTGATGCAAAGCTGAATTTTCAGCATCATTACTCCAGTCTTAAGTGTCACATGATCCTTCAGAAATCATTCTAATATGCTGATTTGATGCTTAAGAAACATATCCTATTATTATCAATGTTGAAAACGGTTGTGTTCCTTAATGTTTGTGCAAACCACGATACATCCTAAAAAAAAAACTAATTTTGTTTAGGATTATTTGATGGATAGAACAGCATTTATTTGAAATAGAAATCTTTTGTACCATTATATAAATGTTTGTACTGTCAATTTTGATCAATTAAATGCAACCATGCAGTTGTATTAACTAAAGTATTAATTTCTTTTAAAATAATCTTATTGACCCCAAACTTTTGAATGGTAGTTTATGTAAATTATTTTAAGCTATTCCTTTCTGAAGTGAATAACAATAGCTTGCCTGCTGCTAACTGTTTGTAGTGCTGCAGCTGGTAGTGGCAGACACCCTTTAAAGCACACACACACACACACACACACACACACACACACATCCTCTCCTCTGTGTCCATAAGTCACCAGTGTACCCTGGTTAACACTGACCCCTCCCACTCATACAACAGTTTGCTTTGTCATGAACGTCCAGCCTGTTCTCAGACAAAGCTTTCTTTTCAGCTGCGTGTCTAAATCTGATGCCGGACAAGAGGGCAGCTTGACCAGGCCTGCACTGACCCTTTTATTGTGAGGAGACAATCAGTAGTGTCTTGCAAACACTGACTGGAACGCTAACTGATCACATTGTAATTGTGGCTGTGGTAGCACCCAATCAAACATCAGGCCCAAGAATACATATAAAAATGGTTGTGGTTTCTCTGAACATGCGAAGATGTACCTGTCTGAAGCCCCGAAGGTTGTTCTCCGCATCCTCTCTCTGGAGCATCTCTTCTTGAAGTCTGAAAATGAGATGAATATTTAAGCAGAGCCACACCCTGTATAACACAACCAAACCCACTGGAGCATCTCACCAGGACAATAAGAAAAGCCTTTGACAACAAACTAAATAAAATCAATTTCTTCTCTTTGGCTGTATCAAAAAATTTAACAAATAATGGGTTGTTTTTAACCTGGTAACGAGAAAACCCTATAAAGAAGAGCTTTGTCCTGACAGAAATTCAACTACAATCATCGTACAGAGTAAATAATAATAATAATAATAATAAAAATGTAGTTTTGTTTAAGGCATTTATATATGAATTTAGCCTATATTTTATTTATATAAATATAAATATAAAACCTAAGACAACATTTATTTGACCTGGTAAAGAGAAAGCTTTGTCCTGAGAGAAATTCAACACCATATTACACCGGCAAAATTTAAAAAAAAAAAAAACATAATATGGGGTAACATCTAAATAAACAGGTTTTATGTATTTCAGAAATATTATTAAATATACTAATATGACTAAATCAACCGACCTTAGGTTACACTAATAAAAATCATTTTAAGGATCAAGGCAGGTAGAACCAGCTTCTTAATGTAATGACAGTACATTTTCAGTTATCAGTAAATGAAAATTTAAACTCAAAACAATGTATATAAATAGGCCTATACATGTATGTACAGTATGTATATATATA